CCCTCCCTCCCTCCCTTCGATCCATATTCTCGCCCCCCGCAACAATATTACACCGCACCCACACCCCCGCACGCCTCTCTCTCTCTCACCCGAGGTGGCTGTTCTCGCTTCGCAAAGCATACACGTTCACGCACGCAATGCCCTCCAGCCAATCAAACCAACGACTTGCTCCCAAGCCCTCCCGCTGAACCAATCTTTGCGCATCACGCCCAATGTTGGGCCCCTCCAATCATTGGCAAGCACGCAAGCACGAAAGTTTGATTGCGGATCAACATATGATTGAGGGGTTAAGTGTGTTGCAAAAAATTGTTGAAAAGGGTGCATATCCACCCACTCCTTGCTTCCGAGCACCTGCTTTGCGCGTGGCTCTGTGGCGCAAGGACTACAGGAACGCTGCTTGGCCTCGTCTTGCAAGCTGGGGAAAGAGAAAGAGACGATTCGAGGGGTTGAGGCGGAGAAAATGCTCGAGTCAGCATGTCATGCCTGCTTCCACGTTGCCTTGCGGCACTCTTGACGAGCACGAGCAGCCCCCAGCTGGATCGGACTTCAACGCAACACGATGCCCAGGCCATTGTGCCTTTACCCTACACGCTCCCTCTTCGCCACCGCGAACGCATCGCACCAGACTCACCTCTACCACCTTCCATCCTCCCGTTATCTCGTTGTGCATCTCCTCATCGACTCGCGTGAGCACCATGGCATACCGACAGCTATCCGTTCTCTCCTCGCTGCCCGCCACAATCTCTCCCGTCTTGGCATCCTTAAAGTACATGAGTTCCTGCGTCGAAAAGCTGACGATGAGGACAGGCACGTTGTTCTCCAACATTTTGGCTTGCAAAATGTCCACATTCTTTAAATCCAGCAGTCTACCGTTTGCGATGGCGCCCTTTTGAACATAAGGATCGACGGTGGCCATGAGCACATTGAACGTCGCTTCTCCGCACCACTGTCGAAGCAGACCCCTGCTGGCGGAGTGGTACGAGTCGATGATTTCCGGAATGACGTATTCCCTCAGTTCGCGCGTAAAGGCGTCCAGCGTAAAGGAAGGCTCCATCATCTTGAAAGCGCCCACCACTCTAGCCGTCTCATTCTCCGCGAACCATCCACCCACCGTTTCCGTGATGCCCCTGAGCCTCTCGACGAATGGATTCTCAGACTCGTCGTAAGCCTCTCGAGCTTCGCCCATCTTGCGAAAGAGGAAATTGGAATCCTTGAAATCGGACCATGCTCGTTTGTAGCCAGCTTCTTGGCGCAGCACCAACGCTTCGCCCGCATTTGGATTTTCCGCAATGCCACGCACACGCACGGCATAGCCGCGAGGTTTGGGTTTTGCTTTGCTATTGCTGCTGCTGCTGTCGCTCCTTGGAGGGGATTGGTCCGACGTCGCTTCTGCGCTGCCTTGTTCAGCACCGGCACCAGCAGCGTCTTGAGCTTGAGCCTGAGCAGCACCTGCTGCACCGGCCGCAGCACCTGCCGCTTCCGCCTTGACCAAGGGATCGTCCGCCGCCTTGGCAGCAGCAGCAGCACCAGCACCAACACCAGCACCAGCGTCTTCAGGATCCAGCAGCGGGGCTAATCTTCCAATCTTTCTCAAGCGTGCTTCCCTTCGAATGCGCCTGGCTAGCCTGGCATCCGCTTCGTCGTTGGAGTAGAGGCGCAAGGATGAACCGCCATCGTCGAAGGCTTCGATCAGCGTGGCCGAGAATGCCTTGTAGGCTTCCGTATTGCGCACGGGCGCTGTGCTGTCTGCCAGCTGACGTGCTAGTCGAGAAGAGACTGCACCAAGCTGCAAAGGCGTCAAGGGCAACATACGTGTGAGTCGCTGCGCTCGAAAAGCGTGCGTGCACAGACACCGCGCGCAACTCACCCCTTTGATCAGTTCGCTCTCTTCCATTTGCTTGAGCGTGGCGTTGACAGCTTCGCCGACGTGACCACCATTCTTTCTCAAGGTTTCAGCAGCCCTCATGAGTCTAGGATTCTCCTTTAAGCTGGTGACGATTCTAGCCCTCTCATACACTTCCCTCATCCTCTTCATCGTCTCGCTATCCTGCATCTTGCCAGCTTCGCCAGACAATTGTCGAATATTGTCCTGCATATCTTGAGATTTGCGCAGCTCTTCTCGAAGCGTGTCGATAAAGGCTTGAAAGGGCGATTTGGGTGGTGCGTCCCTGTGCGCGCGAGTCGTGGAAAAGTGGCGGCGGGGCGAGGGTGCTGCGGCGCTTGTGGCTGCGGCCATGCTTGACCGGCTTACAATGCTACACTTTGCCCTGGCGAGAGAGCGAGCGCGCAGAGATGCAGCGGTAGCCATGCATGCTGTGCTGTTGCTGCTGCTGCTGCTCCTCCTCCTCGTCGCCGTCATCGCCGTCATGACGTCTGACAGGGCGCTCTTTGCAGCAGGTGCGAGGGCAGATGTGCTTGGGTGTGCCATGGCTGATGTTGCGGAACTTTGGGGAGATGTGAGCCGCGGCGGCGGTTAAAAGCTCTGAAGATTTCCCCCGGCCGAGTGAGTGAGTGATGGTTGTGATGCTTTGATGAGGCGGAGTAGATGAATGTGCTCCATGCCGTGCTCATCCGCGCGCTCCACCAAATTTTGACAATATGAATCCCACCGAATCATTATTACGCGCGCAGAAGAACCTTCTGGTTCGCATGCATGCTCACTCGCACACGTGACAGGTACTGTGGATGCACATCACGTGATCAGCGCGGCGGAAACACGTGAATTTCGAATTTCAAATTCAATTCGTGCGCGGCACAGCAATCAGCGGCAGCGTGATCACATCACGATCGAGATGAAGCGACACGAGTATTTTTGCACGCTGACTGACTGACTGCCCTTCCTTTCCCTGCTGCACTCTTGACTCTTGACTTGCATCTGTTAGGCCGCTGTATAGCAAGCAAGCAAGCAAGCAAGCAAGGGGAATGGATAGGTTTGTCAGGTAGATGTGGTGCGACATTGGCCACCTCAAGGTATTGACTGAAGCAAGGGCGGATCGGAAAATCAAGAATTTGAAATTGATAACTTTTAAGCTCGAGATTAGGTCCAAGGCTTGGCGACAAGAGAAGAGAAGAGGAGAGAAGCAAAGCACATCACATTCACATGGCCCGCCGCCGCAGCCTTCCATTCGACTCGAGCCAGACGGTTGAAGCTTTGCAGGAGAGCGTCTCGAGTTGTTTTTGTTTATAAGCAGAGGCCAGACGAGGCGCATTTTCCCTTTTGCATGCCTCCATCATCCGTCATCCTGCTTTTTCTTCCACTTTCCTCGGCAATCACAGCCTCTTTTCCCCTCCTTCCTTCCCTCCTTCACATCACTCCACGCCGCACATCCCAGCTGTCACCTGTGGCCCATCAGATC